TTAATAAATGCTTATCAAGACAATGGATGCTGTCCCACTCAAGTCTCTCATAGGTTGGGGACAATGATCGGGGACATTTTGAGTCTGGAGTGCACTGAATGGGCTGTGGGTAATAGGATCAATCACATCTGTGTTCCTTAGGATTGCATATGTTTTATATTTGCTACTTTTATTTTTACAGTGGGTGAAAGAGCTGCACTAGTAGAAAAATTACTTAACCCAGCTTATATTTAAATTATTTAAGAATATGCTCTTTATTTTTATTAATCTTATTGAGAAACAAATAGCAATGAGACAGTTCCAAAACAGGTCAGTAGGACAGTCCCAACAATTAATACACTGCATATTGCTGCCTTCGCAGTGGTCATTCATAGTACAAGATGCAGACATGATATCCTGCCCAAACACCATCAGTATAAATCGTTCTTCTCACTGAAGCAATAGAAAGTAGCTGTTTATCCATCTCAACTATTTTGTATATACAGATATAAAATGGTCTTTCATTTGTATCCCCCTTTTTTGTTTAATTTTGTCAGAGATGGGTACTCCATTGCCATTTAAATATTGAAGGTGCATGGATTCAGCAAAATAATCCTATATAGTCCAGTAGTCCACTATACATAAATAATGGTAGTGGGTTATCTATAGGACTGGCAATGCAGAAGTTGTTGATTTGAACCTTTTACAGCTCAGCATATTAATATGGCTTTACTTTTTATACCTCGTTTTTATACTCAGAATATACTCTTTAAGTATGCCCTGTGTTAGTTTGTATTGTACAGTCCTTCATACAGTCATCATTCATAGACTTATTATATTACCCACTACTTGCACAGATGAGGAATGAAATTAAAATGATAAAGCTAGTATTTTAAGAAGAGAAAAATATATCTAGAAGCACAGATGAACAATCTAAAACACTTGAATGAACACTTAGTAACAAGGTACAGTCACCAGTCTCTTTTAGTAAATACAAATCTACTGGAGCATAGCCACAGGCTCTGAGCTGTGTATCATTTCTCTCAGCTTTAAAGCTATAATATAACCAAGTACATTTACTGCAAAAGAGAGCATATGGCCATAAAAATTTAAAAAATTTTTTTCTCAGGGGTCCTATTTGCAGCATGATGGTGAATCCACTCATTATTTTGAAGACCAGTAATTAAAGGGAAAGGTTTCAACATTGATTTTATTTGTCTTTTGGTGGGTGCAAGACTTCAGAGTAAGTAAATATTTGATATGAGAAGTTTCTCTTTGTAGGAATATTTTGGCTAATGAACACAGAAGAAGAAATGAGAAAAGGATTAACGGGCCTAGAATATAACTATCATTGGATATAATCTCATAAGAGAAAATCAAAGAAAGATGATGTCTAGGGGAGGATATATATATATATATATATATATATATATATTTATATAATCAGCCTGGATCTGATTTGGTCTCCAGATATAACTATTGAGCCACTAGCAACAAATAAAAACATTAAATGTTCCCTTCTCAATGCAGTCATTGAAAACCAGGCTTAGGTCAGCGAGACAGCTAAGCAGTCTAATGTGCCAGTTGAGGCAAGCTTAGGCAAGTGCAGAGACAGTGGTTTGATCCCTGGCACCACACGCCATGCCAGCCCCATCCCCAAGGTGGGCTGAGCTGGCAACAAAACCAAAACCAAAAAAAAACACACACACACACACAAAAAAAAAAAAAGGAAACCAGGCTCTACTCCAGTATGTTCTCGAACTCACTATGTAGCCTAGAACTCCATGCGAGATCATTTGCATAAGCATCTCACTGCTAGGATTACAGATGTGAGTAATCCTACACGGCCTCTATTCTGGTTTCTTAAGCCAATCAATGTTAATGAGAATGAAATGTGTTAGTAGGACAAAGTACAGATTAAAAGTAATTTAAGAGATTTATTAATGAATCACAATGATTGAAGCCTTCTTACAATTCTAAAGAAAGTAAATGTTTAATATAAACATTGACTGGATATAAGTTATCATTGAATAATTGGTTATTTTGGATTAAAACAATTTTAATTTCTATTTTAAGAATCCTTATCTTTAAGAAATACATATATAAATATTTAAAGATAGGATGTTAGTCCTGGATTAGTTTCAGAATAACAAGTTCTGGAACAGTTAGAATTAGAAATCAGTCCATTTACCAGGATATGATAATACTGAGTAGGGTAGTTGATACATGAACTAACATTGTAATATTTTCATTTTTTGAGAAACTGGGGATTGAACTCAGGCTCTTACGTTTACAAGACAAGTGCTTATTCTAATGAGCTGCCTCCTCGGCCCCATGTAATATTTTCTGTAATACTCATGTTTACAATGTTGCATACTTTGGCTCCCAGCACTGGAAAAAAGAATTCTGTATTCTACAGGAAATATTATTTAAGGCTTTAGTCTTAGAGGCTTTAGTATTCTTAAACTTGAATATGTGAAATTCATTCTAAAACTTGTATTTTAATTATTAATCTACTTTTCAACATTAAATGATTGCAATACAGCTATAAGATGCACTTTGAAAATAATTTTATTAATTATTTATTGGTAAAGGAATAAAAACTAATAAATTAAACTTCCTACTTTTATTTCTGTTATTCATGTAATACATGAAAAAACTAAAGGAACCAGGGCAGCAAGATCTATAGAAGAATCTTTAGATAACCAATAAATTAACCTAAATTTACATAATTATCTTGTTATTTGCATAGCTAATAGACTGAGGAATAGATTACAAGGCATTAACAGTTATTAATAAATGAAACTGTTTCAATTACACGAGTTGCATTTTGCCATAAGAGGCAGAGGCCAGCCGCTAACTGTTAAGAACAATATTAAAAACATCAGAAATTACGTAAACTAATAGCTTCTATGCTTCATGTATAGCTGAAGGATTAATTAATGAATTTATTAACAGGCCTTATTTGTACATGCACATTGGAGAATGCAAAAGGGTATATGTGTGCATTCATCATTTTAATGTTTGCATCTAAGTTAAACTAAAAGGTGGTAGAGATATATACATACAAGAACTTGCTGTATCTGTATTCTTAAAAATCAGTTTTTTATTGAGAAATCACAGTTAAATCAATTATTTAACTGAAAAGTCAGTTATTTGTTGAGAAAAGGTGGTAGAGATATATACATACAAGAACTTGCTGTATCTGTATTCTTAAAAATCAGTTATTTATTGAGAAATCACAGGTCTTAGAAGCTAAATATTTATTTAAAATTTATTCCTAAACCTCATCTTCATCATTATTTGTATTTGTGTTAAAGTACATAATGTTATTTAGAGCTATACTAACTTTTTGTCTACTTGATTAGCTGATTCAATTTACAATTTAATGCGATTTCTATATTTATTAAAAATATAATTTCTAAGGGTCAGGAAGATATCTCTGTGGCATAACCACCTGTCTGGCAAGTACCAGGTCCTGAGTTTGATCCCTGGTATGAGAAAAAAAAAAAAAATATATATATATATATATATATATATATGATTTCTTGCAATTTAAAGACACTAAAATTTCAAAAAACGAGTCTGCTATACACAAACAATGCACAATCATCACGGACAACTTTCATTTCGAGTATTTACTCTGCACTTTTATGAGTGGCAGGTTTTATGTCTCTGTAAGCAACTGCACAGCCCGTACACTGGGGCTTTAAAGTAGAATTTGCAATAAACAAAAATGGTCATTCACTTTCATGGTCATCGGTCCCTGGACAGGCACACAACGCTCTACAGTGTGCTGGGTGCCTTCGCCCCGAGCTTGCTGGCTGCTGCTGGTGCCCACACACTGCAGGAAGCACAGGTGAATGCTTCAGATTCTGGCTTTCACTGTGCAATCTATGCCTCCACTCTACAGAGAGTTAAGCTAAATAGGGATTTCTTGGATCTTCTAGATTTTTAAAGGAATTCTGTGGTAGCAAAAGTTTGTATTATTTTAGTGCAAAAGAACATAATGAATATAAATGAATAGCATTTATTCCATTAATGATAACATTCTTTAAAATTGGTCAGTCCTTTGCACAATCTGACCTTCCCTTTGTTTATTGGATGGATAAAATGCACTTCCAGGAAATTTTAAACATGGTTTTATTCTGCAGCTCCTTTTTCATAGTGTCACTTTTTAAGAAATAGTGAAATTTTTCTTCCTTGTTTTCATAAAGTGCAGTGCTAATTTTTTTCATAAAATGCTTCTTTTCAATTTCTTTTTGTTGTTGTTTTGTTTTTTAAACCAATTCTGCACATTTATGTCTGGTAACCCAAAAAACTAATTTGAAATCAACATCATGCAATACAGCAACCATGACTAAATTCCTATTATTCTGTTTAGTGAAATTTTGTATCATTCCTAATGCTGTTTTTTATTATTACTTTATATTCATTAAAAATGAAAAGATTGCATGGATTACATGTACTACATACAAATTTCAATTACATACTTTATTCACTAATTATATGACAGTTTTTCTTGTGCTGTAAGAAAACAGTGAAGTACAAAAAGCTCTGTGATTTATGTAATGTCTAAGATTCCGATACCTGCTGACGTGCTTATCCAGGGTCTCACAGTGAAATGAAGGGGAAGCTTGCTTATTTTACATGCACAAAAAACAGTGACATTTTAACAATAAAGTACAGATAATTCAGAAACAGCATGTTATTGCTTTTCCATTTCAGGAATATGAAATCGCATCCAGGATTGGTGCATATAAACGTTTTAAATGAAAGAGCCATTACCTCTAGCTATTCACAATCTCGTTATGCTCTCCATAGAGTTCTTTATTTTAATTTTGTTGTTGTTTTTACTGCAAATCAGACTCACGACCTCATGTTTGCCAGGCAGGCTCTGTACCACTGATCTATATCCCTGGTGCTTTATTTTACACACATGTATTTCACACACACATACACACACACCTCAACACAAACTCCATAAAATTCATGTGAAATTCTCAGATAATATAACTCACTTTTTGAAGGAACTCGGAGATTGGCGAGGACCACTTCCAGGGAATCTGCCTGGACACGAAGGACATAACTCGTCCTGGTCTCGTAGTCCAGAGGGCCATTCACGTAGATGAGACCTGTGATGTTATTGATTCCGAACTTATCTAGAATTTAAAACATAATCCTAGGTCATTTTTTTCTTTCTGATTGTTAGGTACATTTACATGTCATTTTATGAGTACATTTCAGATATACATAACGGTAGCATTTATTGTAGGGAGTCTACACCTGTGTGCGCTGCAATTCACTTGTTTTTCCCTTTCCTGTCCCATGCCTTCAACTCCTCTTCCCTTCTTTATATATAAAAGCTTGGCTTCTATTTTCTCGTTTTATTCTGTTTTTACTTGTTCCTACTTTCTTTTATCCATTCACCCTCCCTTGTTCCCCTTCTCACTTGTACATGTAGTTCAACATAATACTTTTCCTTATCGCTTTTAGCACTTATTTTTTAAACTATTTTATTCATTTTATGGAGAAAAACGGACAAAATGGAAATGAAACAGTTTCAAAACAGGTTAATAAGCCATTTTCTTCACAATGTAAAGAAAATACATTACTATTTGTTATAGCTTCAAAACTATAAAAACATAATTATAAAGCAGAAATATGCTAAGATGGTGGTAAGAACCCTTGAAATTATCACCGGCAGTGTTTTCCTATATGCAGCTTGGAAGCTGCAGTTACCGGTTGGAGATTTTCCTTAATATCAGTACTTCGGCGGTCATTCTATCTGGGGATCGCTGAGTAATATGCTGGATACCACAAGCGCGGATGGTCTTCCGCTGTGGCGGAGGCTCTTCTAAAGAAAGCCGTTTAGTTTTGCTTAAGGCAGAATTTTCGGATCTCACTGGTTCTTACATTTTATATTTTAATGTAGATCCTGAAGACGTGATGGCATGCTGATAACACCTCAGACAAGAAGCAGTTAACTCAAAATATGTTTATCTTATAAAATTATTTGTAATATAAATATCAGAAAAAACTTCTCCTGATCACTGTTTATTTGTACATAAAGTATGTATAGACATAGATCTGTTTTCAGTGTTATATCCACACATATATCAAAGATAAGAGTATTGATATATAGTGTATATTTATAATTAAAGACATTTTATATCAAATATTTTATAATAATGTGTATATATTTATAATATGTAAAAGCATCATAATATCATCAAAATATGTAAAAATATTATATAATGTACACCTATTATATTTATAATTAAGCTCATATTTTAAATAACTATGTATCCTATATTTATGTTTTTTATGATATGAATATATGTACTACATATTATGGATGTAAAAACAAGGGCTCATTATTAAAGTTTATGATATCCTAATCCTTATATTCTATCTTTTCATTAAGTGTACATTAATTACTACATTTAGTATTAATTCATTAACATATATTAAGTATGCATCTACTGATTAGAATATGCCAGGCTTTCTAGGCAGCAAAAGGAAAAACAATGGATGACTTACAGGTAGATATTCCATGAAACAAAGAATCACTGGCATTGGAATTATGAAGTTATTCCCAGATGCTAGCAGATTACTGTGCTTCTGAAAGTGGTGGCTAATTAAATGTCAAATTTCAAGTGCACTTGAGAGTTTTGGCCTTATAAATAAATTTGACTGAGAACCGTATTACATCACATACACGGTTTTTAATATAGATGTGTCTCTTTGAGCAGTTACATAGGATCCAAAAATGTCTTCGGGTTCCATCACAGTGTAACTTGAGGTCAACCTTGTTGATGGCATAGGAAGTAGGGAGAGACTACTCTAGGCATCGGTATTACCCACGACTTAAAATAGCACACGTTCATTTCAAAAATTATTATTACAACATCACCAATATAGAAAATTATAGCCTTCTGCAGTTAGATATTCAGTATTTCTTAGGAAAAACAATTTAGGTTAACTAACTAGATTATTAATCCGATTACTAATTATCTTTAATTACAATCAGTTTCATTGAAAATAAACCTAAGATTAATTAAATCCAGGATTAATCTTCTTTGGAGTTTGCTGACAGTGAACACCGGCTGGAAATCTGCTTACCTTCTTCATTTCCTGAAACAATGGAATAGACGATGCTCTGATTGATGGCTGCAGCAGAAATCACACCAACTGGGGTCCCTCTAGCTGCAAGTTCACTTACCGGAGGAGGCCTGTGCGTTTAGAGAAAAATGATTTACTTATTTTTAAGGCTTTTTAGTGAAAACTTTTAGTTCAGAAAAACTTAGGAAGATCAGAAGTTTCTCAGTATACTTTCTGCATGCGCATACGTGCAACTCCCTCCACTGACAATGCACCCAAATATAGTGATAGGTCTGTAAGAATGAGTACGCCTACACGGACTACAATAATCACCTCACGGGTTCATGTTGCAAGTTGCGTGTTGCAGCCGCTGGGCCAAATGTCAAATGTTTACCTCTGTAGTCTCACACAAAATATTTCAACTGCCCTAAAATATTTGTGTGCTCCATTTCCTCCTCCCTCACCCTGAAAAGTCTCCGGCATTCCGCTCTCTTCCTAGTTCGGCTGTGGCACAGGGTCATGCAGTTGGCACCATGTAGTGCACTGCCTTCCCAGGTGGCCTTCATCCCTTAATAATATGCATGGAAATTTTCTCCATGTCTTTCATAGCTTGACCCCTAATTTGTTTTAGAACTGAGCAGTATTCCATTATCTTGATGTGCTACCATTTATTTTCATAGAGACATCTATGTTGGACCTAAGTTCTGAGAGTTTAAATAACAGTGCTATAAATATTCATGCTTAGTTATTTGTGTGACCATGAATTTTTAACGTCTTTGGGTAAATTGTAAGAATTATGATTGCTCTATCCCATTGTTCCTTATTCTTTCCAATATTTGATGTTTTTATTTCATTGAATTTTGGCCATTAAAACAGATATGTAAGCCATTCACTTGCATTTATAAAGATTTGAACTAAATAATAGAATTGCATAGGACTTTTATGTGTATATGTATTTGAACAATTCTAGTACCTGGGGCTTCAAAGGAAATTCCATAATTAAACTTCATTTCTAACAAACTTCAAAACAAATCTTAAAATTATGCAAGTAGTCACGGTTAGACTGTCTTACCACCTACAGCATTTGTAATTAAACATGGAAGGTGGTATTGCCCTATCATCTGACACATTACATACAAGATTCTATTCATTTTTCTCCAGTGTACTTTCTGGACTTAAATGAATAGAGGACACAATTTGATAACTCTACTCACTAGAATAAAATGTTGTTCATACATTGTTTATTGAACATATTTAAGTAAATGGACCCATTGTACATTTTTCCTGGTCTTATACCTGTCCTATAGAGCTCTCCATGTACCAAAGTATTTTCTGGGATGTCAACAGAAAGTCCACATTATCTTGAAACTCACTGACTGTCTTATTGCATTTATGTTATAAAAATAGTACTGTGATGTCTATCTGAATTTCAACATACATTCTGAGTAATATATTAGTGCATTTTCTAAATAGTAGTTTTATTTCAAATTTTCAATAACTAGAATATCATGAACTTATATGTGCAAATTTATATCAAGTAACCTTTTTTCTAATTCTCAGATAATAATGTCATCCATCTGCAATAGACTTAGAAAAACACAAAATACAAGACCCTAGTATTGGTTTTTGTATCTTTTCTTTTTCTACTCACACTAAACCATTTGATTTCAGTAAGCTTTCTCTCTGGTCTGTCTTACAAGACTAGACTTTTTGCTACTGAACTGTTTCCCCAGCCCAAGAAAAGTCTATTGAAATTTCTTCTATGTGATACTTTACCTTTAACACTTGATTTTTTTCATACGATTCCTCATTTCTCTCTCTATCCTTTAAGTTATTCCAATGTAGATTATATTTGAAATTATATTCTGCTATCATCAAACTTTCTGTACAAGTCATCTACAATGCATTCTAAACTTTAGAAGCAGTCTAGAAAATTAATTATATAAGAACTTCCACAAACCTCTTGTCCAAATTGCTTAGTCTTTATGCATGACTAAGCTCCTTAAATGTAAATCAACTACTTTAAACACACTAGCAAGTAATGTTAGTCTATATATTAACTGTATGTTGCAAAATCTATTCCTTAGTAAAGAATAACCAATCTATACAATTTAAAAAATATAAGATCGATTTTTATTTTAGTGACTTACATACTTTCGTTCATTGCACTTTCCTTCAGTTTTCTGCCTCCATTTGAAAATATCCAAATATTAATATAATTTTGGCTCTGCCATGTTCAATAAAATAGCTTGCTTGGGGCTGCCCCAAATCTAAGGACACTATATGCAGGTAAACACACTATCTGTCTCTGGTCCATGAGGGCCGTTTGATCCTATGATCATTGTGCATGTGTAGTTTATGTCATTTCTAAGCCTCTGAAATTGTTATCCAAAAATTATATTTTAGCTATTAGAAAAAGAAGTATTCTTTATTTGCTCTGCCCAAATATTGGGAAACTAGAGAACATTTTGTTGGTAATAATACCAATGCACATGAAAGAACTAGAACATACCTTCAACAGTTTTATTAACATTCCAAATGCAAATATACTTGATAAGTTCATTTCATCAACTAAATCAATAAATTCAATCTTATTTCAACTTGATATAAATTCCTGTCATTTCCCATTATATTGTCTCAATCAAATTAAAAAAAAACTTGTTTAGGTTAGGATATAAGATAGTTTGCATAGGTAGATTCTTCTAAATTAAAATATGATTATAACACAATTACATTCCATAGCCCTTGTTTCTAAGCATTGGTATAAGTTATCTATGTACTTGGGGGCAGCTTTAGCATCCTTGAATTTTAAATGAAATTAATCTATGATTAAAAGGAAGGCATTTATAAAAGTGACAGTAGGGTGATTTTGAAGGACTGGTTTTATTATAAATTGGTGCTAAATATCTTACAAAGATACATTAGGGTCACTATTTTTTTCATCACATTGTTCAATGGTTGTCTACCATAGAATCATTAAATCTGGATAGAATCAAATATCTAGACTTGTGAACACAGAGCGAGACAGTCTCTACCTGACACTGACAAAGGATCTACAAACTGTGGTTCAGGGTTTCAGGATAAATCCTGAGGGGATTGGACTGACCTTATCAGATACATAACCTACATTTCTGGCTAGGTCTTGCTTTATCTTGGTCTTAACCATCCAGCAGAAAAGTATAAAAATGAAGTATAAAAAGTAAAGCCATATTACTATGCTGAGCTGTAAAAGGCTCAAGTCAACAACTTCTGACATTGCCAGTCCTATGGATAACCCACTACTAGTACGGACTGCTGGACTATATTGGAATATTCTGCTGAGTTCACACACCTGTAATATTTAAATGACAATGGAATACCCATCTCTGACAAAACTAAACAGAAAAGGGGATACAAATGAACAACCATTTTGTATCTGTATATTCCAAATTGTTATGATAGATATACAGTTGTATTCTCTTAATTCAGTGAATAGAAGGATTTGTTATTATAGTGTTTTTTGACAGGATATCATGTCTGCATCTTGTACAATGAATAACTACCAAGACAACAATATGCAATGTATTCATTATTGAAACTGTCCTACTAATCGGTTTTGAAACTGTCTCAATGTTATTTATTTCTCAATAAAATTATGAAAAATACATTTAAAACCATAACATATCACAAAAAATAAACTTTCCCTTAGCTGTCTTGCCCTCTGCGTAGTTCCATTTTTTGTGTATTCTTCTCCTATGTGAAGAATGCATATTCTTAACTAAAATAATTCTTACTTAATCAGAAGTATATGATTATGGTGAATAAGACAACTAATTTACAATTTCACTCTTGTCAGCAGCTCTACTGACCAAATCCCCTACTGGCCTTCATGATGACAGCTGCCACATGAAAAGGTATATGCAGACAGAAGGAAGGTTCTGAGTGACAGCCAGCCTGCAGAAAATTAAAGCCATTTGTGCAACACCTCATAAACCACTGAATCCTCACAGAGAAACATCTTGTGCCTAGAAGTAGACCCTCCTCCACAACTGCAGATGAGACTCTGTCCTAGACCTTCATCCTCTCATCAAGGCTTTCATGAAAGCACAAAGCAGAGGACACAGCTAAGCCATGAGTGCGAACCTGGCCTACAGAGACCTCCAGTACGTGTGGTGTTCTGTCCTACTAAACATATGGTCATGTGGCTGAATTGTAATCAATTTGTAGATGATACTAAAGTGATAAGCTGGTTACTTGCAACACATCCAATTACCTGCTGTTGTTAAAATGATGGATACAAGTAAGTGTGCCAGGTGCAGTGATGCACAACTGTATCTTAAGATACTGGGAAGACTGAGGCATCAGGATCACTAATTAGAGTCCAGTCAGTCAATTGCAGGTCCCTGTTTTAAAAATATATATCTACGTGGCATAATAAAAACATGGGGAATACTCATGTAAGGAACTGACGACAGTGAAAGAAATTGCCATTAATCCTCTTCAGATACTTTCCTTCACAATAAACACGCTTGACCCAGTGTTCTTGGCATCTTCTTAATCAGCTCAAGAAGTCTTCTTTGTGAGTCTATTAATGAAGAGTTGTTAATAAATACAAGTGACCCAGTTGCCAAGTGCCATCCAATGAAAGGCAGCCTTGTAAACTGTTACGGTGCTGACTAGCCCATGTTACTCACTGGATCTGGCACTGGGAGGCCTCTGACGTTTGGCCAAAGTGACCATGAATGGTAAATAGTTTGAATAAACTCAGGACCTCAAGGTAGCTATAGGACTGTAATTACAGACACTCACAAAAGTGAGCTTCTCAAATTGCTTTGAAAAGAGGCAGAGATAATTCCACAAGTGTGTTCAAAGGAACTAAGAGTAGTTTCAGAGGGGTGGTTAATGGCAATGTCTCTCTTACGGTAATTTGTTAATTTCGGACATTCACTGTATTTTCCAATCATACTTCACATACCTTTCTATACTATAGAAGACTGTGAGTGTGTCTAGGGGGAAGACCTTGATTTCAATTGTTAGTATCACAAATAAAGGAAAACAAAGTATTGTTTTGATTTATACCTAAATTTCCCCTCAAGCTTCTTGTGCTCATAGGTGGGGCTTTGGCAGGTCACTGGATCATGGCTGGGTGACA